CCCCAGTCGATCTAAAACAGATTTTAGAAGACGAAGCAGAAACAGCGGTAAGAAAGAACTCCTGCTGTGAGTGGACATTTGGAATCACTTTGAAACATGCAGGCATTTACTGATAATTTCAATTATGGCCCAGTTTACATAGTGAACTGATATAAGATAGAATAATTAATGGTTCTTACTAGTTGAGCACAACAACAAGAATACACATGCAGTAAAACTAACCGTGTCCTCTGTGATGGTATCAGGTGGTGATTCATCCACAACTGGCCTTTCAACAACTGTGGGAACTTTCCCCGTTTTCCACTCATAAAATGTTGCATTCCCTCTTTTTTGGGCAAATGTCAGCATAGGGAGGACTGGCTCCGACCTACAAATGACAACATGTGAGCTCATGTGACGCAGCACAAACATTATCTATGGTTTATGTAGTTAAACAGAACAGAAAGTGTTTCTTTCAAGTTTACTTTCATAGTTTTTTGTGAACTGCTCTAATGGATATACACCGATGTTTGAGCTGTATCTGCAAAAATATACATTTGAGAGAAACTGCGACAAAACAAAACATAATATTTTAAGGCTGGATGATAAACTGGATTTCAGTTACAACTGAAAATAATTTAGCTTCCAATATTATGAAAACACAAAGTTTTTACACTGAAAGCTGCAGTCGCCCAGTCACAGATGCATTTATAAAGGCCTTTCATGCTTTTTTTGGCCCAAGCACACATCAACACGTGGACTGGAAGAGCCGGGGAGTCAACCACTTTACCTCTGATTAGCAAAGGAGCTGCTTTAACTCATGAGTGAGCCTTTGGACAACCTGATCTATCTAGAACGAGTTAGGATCAGGAAACGTGAAGGATCATTAACAGTTGCCTGCAGCTGGCTTTGTCTTTTTAACTCAGATTGTCTCTCGTCCCATCTGTTTTTGGCTCACTCTTCACAGAATGGCCCGCCTTTTATGACTCATTTATTCACTTGTTTTCAGTTTGAACGACATTTAAAGTTCAAGGAGATTCCCCGTGAAAAGTTTTTAACTGTTTGTTAAGTTTGTAACTAACCAATTTTAAATACTTAAGATTTCAATATTGCCCAAATTAACAGTAATTATGTTTTTTTCCCACATAACATGGCATCTCTACTGTATCCCTTACTCACCAGTCACAGACAAAGTTTGTAAAGGCAGCATAAAGTTGTATTTGCTCTTCGAGCCTCGCGGCATCCTTCCCGACTTCGTCAAGAACCGCTGGTAAGTCCTTCACCAGAGCCTGAAGCTCTCGAGGCACATTTTCACCCTGTAAGAAGCAAATAAGTCAATCAAAGGCTCAGAAATCCTCACAT